GGAGGGGGTAATATGATTTATATTGTCTCAAAGGAAAAAAAGAGAAGGTGCGAAAATTATACATGTGCGAAGAAGTGCTCGAGATACGACCGTATGTGCCAACTATGTAACATGCAAATAAGTTGCGGTGTGAAAAATTTAAAATTCAGAAGATCAAATTATACTATTCTACGTAATATATTTGACATTTACCGATTTTAATAATTCTGTGCATTCACTTATTCCCCCCCAAGATAATAGAATCAGTATTTTATTTCTTATTGCATTTACATCGTTTCTCTCTCATTTCTTGCCTTTTCAAATCCGTATACGGGGGGGAAGTTAAATCTTGCGTTCCGGTTAACTCTCAGGGAGATTCCATTCAGCTTCCCCAAAAGCGGTCTTGAAATTTCTACGGCCTCGCTTCTTTCGCTGTTTTGCTTATCCAACTAAAGCAATCCCCGCGCTCGTTTCTCCTAATCCGTGCCACTCATTAATCGCATTCGTTTCAGATCTTGCCAAGTAGTGCTCTGAGTTCTTCAAAGAGCGAAATGTCGGGGGAAACAGGATTACTTCAATCAACTTCTGTCAAACTTTTCCAGTTGAGAGATCTTTTTCTTCTAAGTATCTCTAAAGTTCTTAAAAACGGCTGTCATCTCAGAAGGAAGAGAATCAATTCCAAGTTTAGGTTTTGTGTCTTCGAAATGAATGATTGTTTTTTTTTTTTTTTTTTTTTTTATCGGGCTCTTGTTTCTCAAGTTTCTTAAGAAAACGAAGAATTCTTTTGAAAAATTAATCTCCCGGGAAGGTCCGCGAGATGCCGAGGAGGATAGGTTCTCGTGTCGCCGCGAGAGTACTCGTCGTCTGTGCTGGCGTTTAATCTATACGTGTACCACGTGGATTCGGCCGTTCGATTCGGCGGTTCCCTCTTCGGGCCAGCGCGGACTCCCCGTGTCGACCTCGCCAGCGAGAACGCGACGCGAGAACGCTTCGTCATGCGTTGTCGTCGTGCGTAAACCGGGGGAAACGGCCACCGGCAAACGTACACACGTGTACCAACGTGCGTGTCCGTACGTGCGGATAGACGCGCGGCGAACCGTCTCGTGCACGCTCCGACGCTGTACTGGACCGGAGTTAGGTGAAACGGTGAAAGGGTGGTTGTGGAAGAAAGAGAGAGAGAGAGTGAAAGAAGGGGGGATAACGCGGGACAGAGAGGTGCGAAAGCTACGAAAACGGTAAGGGTGAAAGGGGACGCGAGAGGGAAGCCAGAAAGAGGAACAAAGAGCTGAGACGAAGGGAGAGAAGTTAACCGGAAACGGAGAAAGAGAGGGTGAAAGAGAGACAACGAGAGCGAGACGAGAGATGCTGCGGTTGCGGGGCGGAAAATCGCTCTGTCTCGCTCTGACCTCGCCGCAGCGGTGCGTCGCGGCGCGCATCATGCCCCTTTCCGAGCCCCCGGCGAACAACCCACCCCCTGATTCTCTTGCCCTCGTCTCCGCAGCCGCGAGAAAGCCCCTACACCAACCCCGGTTCCATGTCGCAATGTATCCGCAGTCGGGAGCGGAAGGCCCGCTTGGCTTCGGGCACCGAACGACTTTGCACACTTCCGAATTTTTTCTTACGAAAAAAGGAACAGCAAAAAATAATAACGTCGTCAATTAAAGTCTCTTTAAAATAACATATTAGTATTTCAAAATAGAATATTATAACAAAAATTGATGATCTAATTTTTTCTTAGCGTAGCTCGAACTACGTCGCCGCAATGGCCCGTATTGTCTTTCTCCCTGTTTGAAGAACTATTTTGAAGCTTGGATGGAAGAGTACTTTCCCTGGACAAAACAGAGTTATGACCAAAAAAGTTTACACGTCCTACATATTCGATGCACTTAACGCCAGAGGGAAAAATGTGATTTCGTCATGAGCACAACTCGTCTTGAAACAAAGCCAAGTACTTTTTAAGGTATTTTGCAACTTGTTATTGCACAAAGCAGACGTGACACGAATGGAAGGAAAATAATCTGATAAATAATATGAGCGCGGGTGAAATAAGACATTTGAAAAAAAGACTGGATACAGACAATGAATTAGATTTGATTCTCTCTCTCTCTCTCTCTCTCTCTCTCTCTCTCTCTCTCTCTCTCTTTCTCTCTCTCTTTCTCTCTCTCTCTGTTTTATAATCTTTGATTTTGTTTTAAACTAGTTTTATTTCTTCATAAACCTGGCTTCATCTCTTCTGTCATCCGGATCGAAAATGGTCCGTGAACATCTGCACGTTCGACAATGTAGAGATAAAACGAGACTAAAACTCGAGCGAAATGAAACAATTTCGGACACTTGTCGCCGTAATACTGTGCTCGTGAAAAACTCACGTAGAGAGAACACTCTTAGTGCGAAGTTTTTTTCTCTAGACTCGTCTTTCGAACTTTCTTGTCTTTCGGCGCTGCAATATGTTTAGATCGAAAAGCAAGAAGATAAAATGGGAGAACTCTTGCGTGTGAAATATCGTTGCAATTTCGCGGAGAGCGCGCGCGATCGAAGACGGCTTTATAAGAATACGCACGGTGCTGAGAAGCGAGCCGCTCTTAATGAAAGAAATAATTTATGCTCTTACTTGGGGAAATCTCTTACCTGCAGTATATTCCACATCTCTGCTCGTGAAAACCTTCTTGAATTACTTTTTTACATACTCGAATCGTAGAAAATATGGCGATGTAAAAGCAGTGAACCAAGAATTTGCTGCAACACTTGTATTAAATAATTATTAAGTTTTAATAAAAAAAATCCGAACAAGGTAATAAAACGTTAAAAGTCTCTATTTCTCTTCTTCTTGGAGAAATAATTTTTACTGTCGCAATGTCTATCGGGAATAACGAATGTCGGGAGATCGACGGTTCGATCGTATCCTGCACAGGCTCGTATCTGCAGGGAAAAGACAAGAGATTGGAAGCAAGTTAAAACGGGAAGGTCAGCGAGAGGAAAGAGAGAGAGAGAGGGGAAAAAAGAAAGAAAGAGAAAGAAAGAAAGAAAGAGAGCCTCGACGACTCAAGCGTACAGCAATAATTTATGCTGGACATGGTCGCGCGAAGAAAGAGGAAAGAAACGCTCGCTCTCGATACTGACGAAGGTGCTGTAGCACGGCGACCTCGTATAGCACACACGATACAACGAGCAAGACCGTATAGATACTGCGGCTGGGCAATTCGCTTTTATGGCTGTATCCTAAATTTCCGTTTCTGCCACCCAATCGTTAAAACCACGTGAAAAATTGCCGAAGCGACTAATTGAAGAGGGAAGAAAAATTTAGATGAAAGGATATGGTGAACAGTGTAAAAACAAAAAAATTAAAAATACAGGAGAACCTTGCAAACCTTCAAGCTCTATATCCTTGTGCATTTCGCGATAAAAAAGAATTTATAAATATTTACGTACATATTACAATATGTTACAAATTACGTATCTTTTGTGTTCTTTGTCAAATGATCGTCTGGACGCGCAAACACATTGATCGAGATGCGCATCAGCCGGCAACATCTCGACAAATAGTCCGTAGTCCTACCACATGTCTCATTCAGCACGTACCGTTTCCCATGGTAAATAACACGACTGTGCACTTTGCGCGGTTCGTGTCTGAGAAAAACATTGTTTACATTTCCGACCGTATCACTTCTCGTTGATGTATCTGGTGCACAGCGCGCGATGCGTCATCTTGTTCGCTGGTAAATATGTTTGTTCTCGCGGAATACCGCATAACTGACAAGAATGGCACACGCGCCGGCTATGTATACACCACCAGTGCGATAATTCACGATTTTGTGCGTCAACATGATTCACATCCTCTCTCAGAAAGCGGAACTTCGTAATTTTGATGCACTGACAATAGGGCACTGACTATCAGCGAGTCCTTCCTCTGTTTGGTTTGAGATTGCTCGACAATTACAACGTTTACTTTATCGCGGACTTACACGTACTAACAATAAGAGATAACAATATTTTAGAAAAAACTTCAAAAAAATTCGTCAATATAATAATAAAAAGAAAAAAAATAGTGAAAAGAATGGAGCTTTAAATGTTAGAAAAAAATATTGCTTTCCAAAATTCGCACTCACACACGGAGTTAACAAAGACAAGGGAATAAAAGGTTGTTTTAATGAGAAACGCGCGTGTTTTTCTTTCAACATTCACTTTAATCTAGTTTTTATTATTAGGTTTATTATTAGATTTTTTATTGCACATGAGTTTTTTTTATTGCACATGATTTACATACTTTTGCCGATGAAATTGTTTTCTTCGGCCTTGTTCGAACTTGCATGCCGCGCAATGCGGCACGCAAAACAATTTTACAAAAATACTATGTAACATGTTACATACGAATGTATAGCACGTCTGTTAGTACAATTAGGAACACTAGGAACAGAATTTGCCTTTGAGCAGGTTCCTTGAAAGTCTAATGTGAACAAAATGCCACAACGCGCGCAAATCCGCTTGCGATCGCAAGAATAATTCGGTTGTCGGCTTTTATAAAACTGGCTGAATTATTCTTTGATGCGCGAACGTTAAAAAAAACCATCGAAACTCAGCCGGTTTCAAAAGCAGATGGAATGACATGCTTTTATATCAATTAACAATATCATATGTCGGAAGACGTGTGTGAGATTTTTGCGCGTACATGTTTATGTGCGCAAAAAAAAGTACGAAATGCATACGCTCTCAATACGCATACTCCATATTCACCTTACTCGTGTTCTCTCATGGAATATACAAACAAATGATATACAAATGTTTATATAAAATATCTTATAGAAAACTGTGATGTATATGTGGCAGTTCACTATCGCCTATAACAATATGTGTATAAAATATGCAGAATTATATTTATTTAAAATATCAACATTATTCTTAACCTGTGCTCTCGCGAGAAATCTTGCGTTGTGAAATATAAACACGATCACATACATATATAACGAGTTTCATACATATATATTATATATATTTACACAACTGTATTTACCTCGCACAATTTGTTTTTTTTCCTCTAAAGTGTTCGATCGAGGCGATACGTTTTGCCATTTATTTCTCATGTTCAATGTTTTTCAAGATCAGTTAATTGTGACGTCGCATGTATAATCTCCAATAAAACAAAATTAATATTCCTACTTGTGTAACAATGATTAAAAACTAATTTATTATTCTACCATATATTAATTATTTATATGTATATGTATAAGAATATGTGTACTATATATATTATACATTTTGTGTATTATTGTTACTTCTACTTGTTAAAATGTTTGCGATGTCACAATTATCTTAACTGTTTTGCATTTGTAATCTTATTATTTTACCGTTTCGTGTGTAATGTAGTTTTTACGTTTTTTCGAGAGAAAAATTCAATTGTTGAGTTTTGCATCAAACATGAGCTACAAATACTCTGTTTCACGCTCGCCGGCGTTCAAGGAAGATGTGGATAAGCGTAGGTCAGACTTTCGGAGCAAAACGTTTTTTAAAAAACGAATTTTCATCGTGTTTTCGTAATTCCACTTTTGCGGAATATGGAATGAGCAGCTGGACGGAACAATCGAAAAAATAAAGTTTTGCGTTATAATCTTCTCTTAAAATTCTTTGTAAAAAGTCCAACTTTTTTTATTTTTTTTCCAAAAATTTTGCAAGAGAAAATTCTTTGCACAGCGGAATGTATAGAGCGTTTGTCGCAAACTTCGTAATTGCAACAAGAGAGAGAGAAGAGATCACGCGGAAGAACGCTGAGTCACTTTGAGGAATAGAATCTCATTGAATAAAGCGATCGTAGCTTCAACGAGATCGCAAGTGGTTTTTCTCACTTACATGTTGTTTGTTTTATAAGACGATTTTAATAATTATTTTAGGCACATGATTGAACGTCCACTTTTTCTCGAGCGCGTGCGCGCGATCGATCGTTCTTTAGTCGATCATAGCGCGATATGAGCCGGCGCGCTATATAGATTTATTACATTGATGACTCTCGAGCGCCTGCTGAAAATTGTTGTGCGTTAAATACATGCGCAAGCGCGCGTATACTTAGCGACTGATTGCGCGAGCACGCGGGGAGTATAATGGCACAGTTTTGCGCTTTCAATCATTTCAGGACGCGAAGGAATCCGCCGCAGTCAGATTCTGTTCACGGCGCTTCTTCTCCCACGTGTTGATCCTCTTCAGCGGATAACAAATCACGGCCGACAAGAGAATCAGGCTGCCGGATAAGTAGAACGACGCGTCATAGCTCCCGGTCGCATCCATGAACGCACCTATTTACATTTACACGAGTGTCATTTGGTGATCATTATTGTAGCTTGACGTCAAATCTTTGCAATTCATAAATCGGTATCGAGCTATTATTTGTGACACATCGATATGTAATAATAAATTATTATCGAACGGTGTAAACATTTCCTGGAATCCGCGAGCGCTTTGTCGTTTCAGATAGAATATATTCGATCGAATGCAAATCGCAGCACGACTTGTTCCGCCGACTGAAGCGCACTTTTTATGTAACTCTGTTTATAAAAGAATACGCTCCCGCGGAATGATAGAGGCGTGCAATAATGAATTTAATTACCTGCGATAGGCGCGCCCACAGTAGCCGCCACGCCCTGAAACAGAAGGAGCAATCCGAAAGCGTTCGTCAGTTTCTCCAAACCTAACAGATCCACGACGAGAATCGATCTCAGAGACGCGAAGACGGCTGTGAAGAAAAACAAATTTTTATTTTACGTATTTAATGAAGAAAAACCTAAAAACTTCTAGCTTACAGGATTTAAATCGTGAGTGAAACAAGAATAAGATTGAGAGAAAAACACACTTATCTTATAAAAAAAAAAAAGTTTTGCAAATCTTTGTAATGCTTACATATACTGATACCAAAGCTGGCCGCGTAAAAGAATTGATAAGCTTCCGTGAGTGAAAGGCCGGAAAACATGGTGACTAAACCGCCGACGCTAATAAACAAATTGTTCACAACCAGAGCGTTAACCCCCGGCAAGCTGCTCGCTAAACCGCACACGATACGACCGATAGTGTTGCCAATACCGATGACCGAAACCAGGAACATCGCGGTCGAAGGATCGATATTTGCTTTTATGGCTCGATCTGCGAAAAGAAAGATAGATAAGAAGATCTCATTTTGTTGAAACCAACAAATGACACATGTGTAAGAAGATTTGCTGTTGCAAAAATTCTTTTTTTTTTAAATTGCACGCGATAAAAACTTGAATAAATTTTTCATCTTTTTGACGCACGTACCCGGGACATACATGAAAGGCGTATAAAAGCCCATCATGGTGAGACCGCCGGAAATCGCCAGTACTAAAAAGGACGGACTTTTCAGAAGACTTAGGTCGAGCATTGTGGTCAGAATTCGGCGCACGCTTTCCGGACACAGGTAGCAACTCCCGCTCTCTTCTTCCGCCACATCCGTTGCCGTTGGCAGCCGCGTCACTGACATGTGATAACCGACCGACGATTGCTGGAAATCGCGGATAGAAAACAATATCCCGTAAATGTTATTTTTTTGTTTTAATTAGAAAAAAAAAAACGTTTAAATCAATTAGATCAGACGTTTTGATGTTTTAAAATTTGGTCTCGAAATTGTTCGGACATCTCTGAACTTACCTGCGATCTGTAATGAGGAAGTCTCATTAAAGAACCGCCGTAGAAAATGTCGTCTCTGTAAAACGGTCTCTGCGGATCTTTCGGATTCCGTTTCCCCATTCGAAGAGACTTCTGACTGCATTCCGAGTTCGTTCGTAAACGGCTGATCGTATGTCGGCGAATCTGAGAATTAAAGATAGAATTTTTATCTCTCAATTTTAAATTGAAAACTGAGATACTTTTTTCTTGAAATGTAGTAGTTTTGTATGGTCGTACAAAAGTGGAAAACGTTAAGAGAAGATAAATAAGTCACGAGTCGATTTGAGGAAATTTCCAGGTCATAAAACTGACGTTTACAGCTTCGGAAGTGCTGAATTCTTGGCAGAAGTGAACAGAATGTTTCTTTTACATTCCGTATTCTGGACGGATTTTACTTTGAAAAACACCAAGAGAGAGAGAGAGAGAGAGAGAGAGAGAGACTCGCGATAATCGCCACTAAAACTGAATTTAAATTACATTGGTCGAGTTTGACGTGCGATTTAAATAAATATTATCGCAACATTGTTATTTCAAATTATTTATAACCTTGTGCACTGTGACTGATAACCCTCGACTGTAATTTTTATCAAAATCGATCGATGCCAAGCAATTATATTATATACATATTAATTTTGATGACGCTTTGTTTTATTTTCTTCTTTTATCGGTAGAACATTGTGATATTCTTTACACTTCATTAAAATACAGAATATGCATTTTGTATCTTTATAAAATTCTAAAGCAAGAACAAAACAATCTCTTTTGTAATAAAAAAAAACACTTTTGTCCATCTAAGATCTTTCGCAACAATTGAATTTTTAACTTTTCAAAGAGACGCGCACGCCTCGATATTTACCGTCGGTACTTTTCCATTCAAACGTTCCAAGTCGCCGCTGAGCAGATTGTTCTCCTCTTCCGCTATCTTGTCCTCATTATTCGCCACATCCAATATGTTCGTATCGGGATATATTGGCGCGGATAACCGTTTCTCTGACGTGCTGACTTTTCGCTCTATAGGTCGAATCTCGATGTTCATTTTATGCAGCGAGTGCAAGGACTTGGACGTTCTGCAACAGAAATCGATTGTTGTCTCGTCGGGAAAGATGAGACGTGTTAAAGAGAGAGAGATAGAGAAAGCGATTGTCAGGGATCTTCCGTTTATATTACGTTACTATGTTAGGACTGCTGCCGATGACTTCTGCCGCCGTCGGATATTCCGTGTTGTTGTTTGTGCCGAGGAAACCGCTTCTGTTCGGCTGTACACAATGCAACGACGCCGTCGACCCTTCTCCCTTACCTACTAACGTGGTTGTAGCCTCGGCATTTTCCGGAGTGCTCTTTACCTTAATCCGCGTTGGCTTTAGCGGCCGAAATAGCGCGCCGAAAATGGCGCAATTTAACAGCATACCTGCAAATATCGGTTTTTGTTCGCTTGTACGCTTTCATGACAGGCATTTATCACATTGATTATCTACATTTATTTTCCAGTAGAATGAATTTGATTGATTTTATTAATAAAATCGTTTAATTTACAACCCTTCACGGACAGACCCCAAAAATGACTTACGAGTCGGACAGATTTAATCTGTGAAGACCTACGCGACTTTAAAATCAAATATCTCCGCGAAAAATTAATATTTTTTTCAATTTTTTTTTCGGAAGTTTGAGCGATTCTGCGTCAATATAAAAAAACCGAAAAAATCTAGTAGTTTCGAAGATATAAGTGTTTAAAAAAAGTAATTTTTATTAGAAACGCCGATGCGCAAGTTTTGTGTGGGTGTGAGAGACCCATGTTTGTTCGTAAAGAGTTTAGAATTATACTTAATATATATAAGTGGGAAGTATTAATTGAAAATTATATTAATCTTCCTCTCTCTTAGCTTGTGCAAATTGTTTTCTTTGACGCATATCAAAACAAAAGTTTTGTTTGTATGTTCAGCAAGAAAAATTTATCTACTGTTTTGTTTCACTAACGAAACGTTTTGTTGGCAAAGCAACAAATTTAATTTATTTGCTTGGTAAATTTTTTTTGCTGGCCATATAGCAACTAATCTTTTTTACTCCAGCAAAACTTTTTTTCTATATTTTTTAAATTCTTATAATATTGTCTATAAAAAACATGATGGAAATATATTCGACAGCTGATTATACAAACGTGATCGGTTATGTTTAGTGGCATTAAAGCATATGCGGAAGTACTAACGAGCGTATCGTTCGTTTTCATTAACCTTTCAATTAAGCGATATCATTGCGCGCGAACTTGTCTCGTACGATATTTTTCTCGAACGATACGTGCGCGGTTTTAACGTCGTGCGTTATTCGTCAGATTTTATCGCGCGAACCGCCAGTTACCGAATCAAATGCGTTCCGTATTATTGAGCAAAAATTGACACTTTTGCGTCCCCGTTAATCTTTCACTGACGAGAAAGAATAAATACCGGAAATTTCAGCAAATTTGATTGAAAGTTTAATTGCAAAAAGGTGCAGATTTTTTATGCACGCCAATTGCGCTACGTGTAAATGATTGCGCGCAATCTTTTCGATAAAAAATCGAACGGGTTTCGATAAATATACTTGACTTTTTTTCTCTGTCGAGAAGAAAGCTCCGAATCATTCGTAATCGGGACGACAATTTATCATATCTTTACGCGAATGTAAGAGCATATTTCTTTCTCGAAGAGTCATTCACTGTATAAATAAGTTCGACTTTGAATAAAATACTCACCCGCTTGAAACAGCAGTGCTCCTCTCCAGCCGAAATTTTTCACGAGTATGTCCGAGATCGGCGCGAGCAGAAACGCACCGATTCCCGATCCGCACACCGCGATACCTGTCGCCAGAGCTCGCCATCTTTCGAAGTAAAATCCGGTCGTTATCACGGCCGGCACGTATATGAGTCCCGCTCCGATACCACCTACGATTTTTCAAAGAAAAAAAAACTTCTCTTCGTCTTAAAGGAAAAAAAGATACGCTCTCTCAAGTATCCGATAAGAAGTGCAGTTTGCATTTCCCACAGGATCGAACTAGCCGAGAAATATTGCGCGTATGTGCGGAAACTTGGCAAGCGCGCGAGGGGGAGAAAACTTTCGATAAAGGAGACGCCGGAATAAAACTTAGCAATATGAGAGATATATACATATCCGCGAGACGGGAGGAAGGAAACACACACTTACCGATGGCGCCGTAAGAAATGTAAAGATATTCGATGGACGTGCTGAAATACGAGAGGACGAAGGCGAAGCAGCTTATCACGCTTCCCAATATCGCCACCAGCCTAAAGCCGTATCGGTTAGCGAGGGCTGATACAAAAGGACCTGCAAAGAGTGATAATTAAATTTGCAACGAGCCGTGTTGTCAACAAATAAATTGCGGGATTTTCGACCTTCGGACAATCCGGTCGAGTGAAAACATACACGCGCGGAGACGCGCTCGTTATACCTTAATTATCGATCCGCTCCTAATCGACTGTACCTGCGAGAGGACGGTATACATTAATTGCTGTGCATATTGACTGTTTGACAATACACAAATGTGTCTTTATTGTAGCGGACAATTTATAGAAATATAACACACGCACGTATATCTCACGCGTGTGTTATATTTCTACAAACGTGTGTGTTTGTACAAGTGATTCTATTGTATCGCTACGGTATAATTATTTTACGTAATAAACGAAATGACAATACAGTTGTGTGTAACGTGGGATCGTTAATTAACAGAAAAAAAAAAATATTCGCACACTTAATTAAAGATATATTCATTAGAAACTCTTACTTCTCTATATCTTATACGTGTGTCGATTAATATCTCAAACTTGCGTAATAATAAAACAAATTTCCGCGCATTTAATTTCTTATTAAGAATAATTGCAGAAATTTATTTTAGTTTTTATCGAGAATGATTAGCGCAATTTTACTGCGCGCGCGCCGAGCTGATCGCAGACATCCTGCCGCAACGTGAAGGATCCGCGCGCGTGATGTGTAACCACGTGGAAATTGTCGCGTGCACGTACTTGAAATCCCGCGTTCAAGTGATTATGTACACTACATCGGAGAACGAGTTTAAACGCGATGACATTCGTGTTGTCCATTAATCAATATGAATTCGCGAGATATTACCAAGCGATTTCGCATAAACGCGTTAAACGTTCTCGCAACCAAGTTACACGTTTTAATCAAAATCAAGCATCGCGGATGGGAATGTTCGTCTTCGCATATTTATTTTTCCGGATTCCACCGCAAAAATCATCGAGATTGTGCGCGAACACGCGGACGATTGCTTACAGCGATGCTAATTCAGGCGCGAATCCAAGTGTCGAGTGCTTATGCGCGTTTTTTTTTTATCAGCTCGATGATGTCATCGGAAAGATTCCTAATGTACATTACATTACACGCCGCTCGTATTTTGGGAAGATATTTATCAATTTATACACAACAACATTTATTCTTTCCGCGATATTATCTTGCGCAAAATTCGTGTCAACATCGCGTCGACGAAAAGATTCGAGAAAGATCATAAAACATTCTGTTGAAAAATACATAGATATAACCACCCCTTGCGAGAAAGAGCGCGAAAGAATTAAAAATTTATCACACTACGCGACGTAAATTTGGTACATATTTGCGTGGAAGAAAAATAAACTCGATGAATTTACGAGATGCGATTTTTTGCTGCACATTGTTTTATTAATTATACGACGTTAATAATACGACGCAAAACTTTGCTATTACGTAGCACGTCGCCAATAAACGATCGGCTCCATTTAATATATACTGCGTATCGTTATGCAGATTCCATAAATCAGTAATGCTCAATTACTATCGTTGGCAAAGAAACTTTTGAGATCTCGCGTTATACTAAACGCGCTGTATTTTTTTAACAGATTTTTGTTTGTTTGAAATTAAATTGACGCACACACACTCTCTCTCTCTCTCTCTTTTAGAGTCAATCTCGCGAGGTGCGGGCTATTTTTTAAATTGAGTAGTGTATAAACAATAATTTGTCGAGTGTGCTGTCATTCGTGAAACGTTCTTAATTCTTCGTGGATTGACTTTCAAAAATGTCTACTAGTTCAACTGACTAGATCTGTGAGATCCACGCAATATTACACATCTTCGCGAAAAATCAATATTTTTCAAATTCTTTTCTATCGAAAGTTTGAACGATTCTGCGTTAATAAAAAAAAAATCAAATCAAAATCTCTAGTAGTTCTGAAGATATTAGCGTTTAAAAAAACTAAATTTTTTACCAGAAACACCAATACGCAATTTTTAAATGAGTCTGGGAGACCTACTTTTTGTTTGACCTGTATGTCAGTCCACGAAGGTTTAAGACCGGATACAACAAAATCCGGTGTAATACTCCGGGATTAGGTGTAAGTTCATTGTTGAATGTTATATACGTGTCGTTACTACTAACCAGCCATAAGATAAAATCCAGTCTGCAACGAGCCGACTAGCGCGACCCTCGCTTTCGACACGGAAAACGCATCTGCGATGTCATTGAGAAACACGCCGAAGCTGAAGATGATACCGTCGACGAAGAGATTGCACATGAACGATGCTATGACAATCACCCAGCCCCATCCTCCGTCAGGTGGTACCACCATTTCCACCTCGATTGTCTATCAACAAAATGTTTACAAAACTTTCAAAACAATTAGTGATTGTGTGTGTATGTGTGTGTCAGAAATTTAACTTTAAGTTAAACTAATATGTTTATTCTAAAGCTAATTGACAAACACCGTAATAACAAATAGTTTAAAACGATGAATTGATGAATTTTTAGGATCTCGTTAAAAATTCATTAATTTTTGAACTTTTGCTAAACGATAGCGAGCTAGAAACTTTGAAAAGGATATAGCTGGAAAATTACTGTAAAAAAACGATAAAATTTGATTTAATTTGCAGAACAAAAAACTGTTATCAACTACCTAGTTGCAAGCATCAAATCGCTTGCGATAATGAAAGACTTTTAATTATAGTATGGAAATTTGTGTAGCTGACGTTACGTTTGAAATGAGGTTTCGTTTGTGCTTACATTCACAAAGCTGAAATTACACAAACCTACAAAATACACGCGAACGTGAATTATTCATGTAATAAGTCTTACTCTAATATTAATGATTTTACACTGTAATACACTAAAAGTTTATATTATTAATTCAAACATGTACTGTCTGTTTTAAGCGTAAGATAAAAGTAATTTATATATCTACTAGATAATATTTATGAGATCGAATATAAATGATATCTATTTACATAGAATTTACGTGATAATCACAAAGTTTCGCCAATGTGACGCGCCGATTTATATTCTAGAAATTATCCGTATCTCCAACATTTCTGCTTTGTGTGTGCGTTTATTTAAATATTATTTACACGCTAGATATTGTAATATCTGCGTGTGTTTGTTTGCAAACAAATAAAACTTGGTAATTTGCATTTAAAATATTTTTACATAAAACAATCGTGGCATTATAATTTTATACGATACGCAATACGATAATATTACAATAATTTTACGAATAATAGCTTTTTTAACAAATTCTTATCTTTTTTTTGATTGACTTTGAAATGATAAACTGGATGGGACAAATCGAGAATGAATTATTTGCGATTTGCTTAAAATGTCGCGATTCATTCACGTTAGCATGAAAATGTGTGCGGTTGTTGTTTTGCGTTGAACACAAGCGAGAGGGAGTGCGCGTGCGAACAATTATGAAAAGTCAGAAACTTCGTACCCTCGACTATCGATAAATTCTAAGGGCGATAATCGTCGCGTGAGAGCTGCTTTTTCGCTCGTCGAAAAACCGCGATTTGTATATATGTACACGGTGTCCGGTAATTGTTCGGAACTCTGCTCGTGAGCAGATAGAAGGGATTATTTTGAATAAATAAATTCTATACCACTTTGCAAGATTTGCAATAATTAACGAGATGTTAATTAATAAAGACCCGCGAATGAGCGCGCATCCACGTGCGTCGTAATGACGGCTTAATCTTTTGCGCGCTCACGCCGTAACAACAGAATGGAAGAAGCTAATATAAACAATATATAATATGCATGAAAATCAACAATTATCGACGCCTAAACATAAAAGTATGAACCGTATTTTTTTCATCGAAATAAATAAGTCTAATGTCAAAATGTGTCAAAAATGAGTTTGTTCTCTTATTTATTTACTTATTTACAAGAAAAAAAATTATAAATTACATATGTATACCATGTATATACATGTATATTATGTATATTATATACTGTTTGTATTAGCTCCTTCCATTCTGTTGTTCGGCGTGAGCGCGCGAAATATTGACCTGTCATTACGCACGTGGGTGCACGCTCATTCGCGGATCTTTATTAATTAACATCTCATTAATTAATTATTGCAAATCTTGCAAAGTGGTATAGGACTTTTCGATTCAGAATAACCCCCCTTCTATCTGCCTACTAGCGGCAATTATCGGACACCCTATATATCGAAGCTAGTTTGCGGAGCCGGCACGAAGTCAGTTAATTCGCGACTGTCCTCTGATATTTCAACATTAACGTTCCGCACGCTGTAAATTTACAAGTCGCTAAGGTCAAGGTCGCTCTGAAAGCAGAGTCTGGGTCTTTCAGTATATTTCGATCCTACTCGTGACCCAAAACTTCGAAAGTTATCAATTCGCCGTCGAGCTGTTCGCTTAAAACGCCGACTTAATTCGCAACCGACGAATTTATCTCTGGCGGATCTTTACTTTAAAGCAACGTTTTATCTCACAGAGAAGTGAAGGAGAAACTTGAATAAATTTTAAACACTTTATTCTTTTTTAAATCTTTTGTTAGAAAATTTAATATTTTGTAGAAAAAAAATAACAATTCCACTGCAATTATATCTCACTTACAGTTTTCTCAAAACAACCTGTAATTCCATTGCAATTATATATATCACATTTTATAGTTTCCTTCACTAAATATGATTCCGTCGCAATTACATTTGATTTATTATAGTTTTCTCAGCAAAAACAAGGGAAACTATTTTTGTAAAAAATATATATATTTGAAAAATGTGTGTTGTATAATCACCTGCTGCTACATCGACCATAAATCATGAAAAAAGCGTAACAGCGGCACATTAAGTTGTATAACCAGTCGTTTCTCAGATCTGAATCGATTAAAACACGTGAGCGGGAAAAATGGCAAAATTATTCTCAAAGATGTTTTTTTTTTGTTTTTTAACGACTCAGAAAAATCATCACTTCTATATCGGAAGTATAATCCAGAGAGAATCTCGAGAGACGAACGCAAGTTCCGTCGTGCGCATTGAAAGCAAAGTGTGGAGATATATCGTCGGTCATTCTCTCAGCATAGAAATCCGCGCGAGATTTTTTTTTTTTTTTTTATCGTCGTCCGCGACAAAACCAGCGAACGGTGAGGCGTTTTGTTAAACTTTGAGGCGAGGATTGATAATATGAAATTCAGCGAGAATCGCGCATCCGCCCCGGAGTGACCCACAACGAGACAACGATTATCGGTTTCATTAGGTATTCGCAAATAAGTCGATAGCGCGCGGTTCGCACTTTATAGCGATATGTGTACGGAGATCCGTCCGTTCGTCGCTCTCCGCGCGAACACACTGATCACGTCGCGTCGTCGTTGCTAGAGCCGTCGCTATGCGCGAGCGATCGCGTAATACCGATTTTTTTTCTAGCTTTACGCATTTGCAGCTTTTGCATGTGCACTTTGACGCACCTACGCGTCGCAATATATAATAACACGCGTCACCCGTAACATCGACTCACCTCTTCATTGACGTCCTCGAGCTGCAGCTCCTCGGTGTTGTTAGAGCTGTAACCATTTTGCTGCGGTTTGGTCCCGTCGGGAATCCGCTCGTCTGCTTTTTTCTCCGTCGACATCGTCGTTCCGTTCAAATATCTAAAACACGCGATTAACTATTTTATTACGCATATACATTATTACATATATATATATATATATATGTGCGAATATGTAACGAAAACGTAGATACGCGACACGCAACACATGAGATTCGACAACAATTGATATTCAAAGCAACATTTTCCAATACTTAAATATATATCATATGTAATACACTTAAAGGTGAACGACGTTTATTATAAGCACATTCAGTAATATTCGACGTAATATTGAATGTTTATTTGAAAGAATAAAAGATTTATATATAGTTTTTTTTTTTTACTTTTTACAAACAGATAATCTGACCTTTAAACTTTGGCATGTTATATCAAATTTAATATTGAAAATTAACGAGTCATGTCAAGTAACAAGGATCTTAGAATTGATCGAAAAAAAAACAGCAAACACTGTATGCACAGATAGTAGAAAGGTCAAAAGCAAGCCCGACTTCTTTCCTGGTATCGACATCTCGCCAATAAAACAGAGAACGCGGCTCTTTCTTTTTTCTCACGAGTGTGTGCTTGAATTACGAGTAGCGTCAAAGCAAAGCAGCAATCAGCTCGTTTAATTGAGCGGTAACAAAAGAGGACACGAAGATGAACTGGCATTGAATCGGCTTGATAGTTCGTGACCTTACGCAACGTACCTGCACAATTCATTACTACATACTTTGTAACTTGTCCAGTGTAACTTTATGATATGACCGATTATAAAATAGATGAGATCTTTGCGACTTGACAGAGCGTCTGCTCAGACCTTACAGAGACTGAGTTTCGTTATTCACTGCCAGTATTGGAAATCTATAGCACATATAGTGACGTCAAGTATAAATTTTTAATATACTGGCAGTGAATATCGGAACGCAGCCAGAGTTCCGCCTCCCGAAACTTTGGTACGCTAAGTTGGTGCAAAAAATTCGCGATCGGAACGCAGCTCAGCTCGAGTTAGTCCGTAGCGCGATTGAACTTAAGACGATATTTAAATACCGACTGCTCGTCGAAGTCGCATTCACTCGGTCGGCCACACGACCGAGAAGACAGTCGTTATTATAATGACATCGGACGTGATCGAAGTATCGAATCGTCTTGTATCTTGCTTTACAAATCGACGATAAGATATAGATATTCGCTCGAGAAAAATATTTCTGCGATACACGCGCAGAAAACAATTACAAGTAACATGTTCAATTCGGAGCACTCCATCTTATAGATATGATTTGATTTTATTGCGATTTGAATCCAAAAACTGTTTTTTCCATTTACATTTTTTTTTTTTTTTTTTTTTTTTTTTTTTTTTTTTTTTTGAACTTTTTATAACTTGACGCATATTTCGCAAAACACTCATGCAAAATCGCCTGCCACTCAGATACAATATATCAGAAGTGATTAAAAGTTACGACCCTATCATTCACACGTTGTTTGCGGAATACTGTGTTATTATGCATATACACAGCTTCGACTGTCGTGCAAACAGGATTGTGTAAACTTTGATTGATAACGAACGTTTTTATTTTTAGCACATCTTCACTCGTTCGCTTCGCTCTTTTGCATATTCGCGCGTACAAAAGAGTCATTTTTGTGCGAAATATCGTGATTCGGATGTGCCCAAGAGTTTCCGCGGAAAGTACACAAATTCGAATGAGTGTGTTCGTTCCACTTCTTTCTTCGCTGTTCTTGACTGTCAACTTGGTCGCAAAGAAAAACCGTGAAAATATTTCGCAAGACGTTTTGACGCTAATAAATTTGTTGAACTTGTTGAATTGTGACAAAAAAAAAATAACGCGGAAGATCTCGAGTTACTTGTGTACACTCTTGTGTATTTAACTGTGTGTATTATACGGCGAATAATTTAAAAAAAAATAAAACTTGTAAAAAACAAAGATTATGTTTTACCTGTGAAAGAGATTAAAGATCTCAAGACGTTCTCGAGGCACCACTGCGAACGATATCTCGTTCACGAGCAAATATATCGCGGACGATAATTATAAAATTATTATTATTCGACGATGTCGAATCTCTCTAAGATAAGACAGCACACTTAATTGCATGTATCGCGTTAATTTCAAATATGATCAGGTAGCATAACACACATTTAATTTTGATTCTAAGATAAGATTACCGTCGCGCACTATTTGCACGTTGTGTCGATGATTGGAACGTGCCGCGCACACACAAGAACTGAGCCTTCCGATCGCGTTCGAGTTAACATCGGGAACTGTTTATCACGGCGTTTTATCTACTCCGGATTTGTCCGCTTCGCTTGATACGAATTCCGCGTCTGAAAAGATTGACATTGGCGAAGCGACGAGCGAAGCGAATGGCACACGCGCGCTCGACAAAGGCGCGTTTACCTACCGTACGTATGTACATATCGTGCGTATCAATTATTGTTCTCTTGCTCTCGTGTAAGCGGATTTCGCATCAATGCCTCAACAAAGAATCCTCCGTGAATGAGGACAGAAGAAAGATGCTGAAACGAGGTAATCGCGCGCGAACTCGAACGTATCTCCGTCGACAATTGTAATCGCTGTTCCAGAAACAAGAGTTATTCTTGCGAGAGAGCGCCTGATTATCTCATTAAACGTCGCGATAAATCATTATCGAGCGGACAAATGCGCGATCCTGTTGTTCAATGATGAATTATGGCACGAGTGCTTGCTCTGTCGAGCATCAGCGAGCAAATGTATTTTGCTTCTTACACATAGATAAAAGTCAAAAGATATAAAGCGCCAATAATAATTCAGCAGTTCTGCAGACAAGACGTTTGGTGTAACATCGCGTACGTCACATGAGCATCGCGCATCAATCGTCAATAAATTTTACTGCCACTTCAAAGGGAATTATATCGACGAGCTAATGAAAAAATCCGACACTTATTAGAAGCGATAATTACGACGCGATCGAGCTGTAATCGCGCTCTCGTAGCATCTTCCTGAGAAACGAGGAAAAGTATTACACATTTGTTTCCGAGACACGCGAGAAACGTCTCGTTAAATCATGCATTTTTTTCTTTTTTTTTCACATAACCGAACGAACAAACGCGCTATTGTGATCGATCGCTCGTCCAAAAAAAGTCCAAGGATGCGATCGCATCCCTCGCGCGTAATCGCACAGGCAATGTAAAAACGGCAAGATTTTTTTCCCGATAATTCGAAATAATATCCAGACGGAAGTCGATACGCGCGAATATAATGCGGGATTGTCAGTTCTGCAACAATAATGTCCATTGTCTGATTTATTTCACAAGATACATCGCAATTGCTTGTTCTCCTCTCACAAAACACGTGTGCTCCGTTTTTTTTTTTTTTACACTTTGATTTATCACGTGCAATATATCACGCGCAATATAATATATTGTTTTTTGTTTCAACAAGAGTTTTGAGAAATTTATAATATATCCCTCTTGTGTATTTCCTAATATGATAACAGAATTCTCTGTTTCCGCGCGATTGCTTCGCAGAAACACTAGTTAACTAGTCAATATAGAGATCACAGACAGGATCACAATCAATTGTCTTTATTTGACAATCTTTGTCACATCGTGTTATCTTTTATTCGATATAGACTATTTACGATTTGTTGTTATTTCTATATTTTGTTTGTTATTTAGGTCATCTTCAACTACATTTTGATGCTCCGACAGATATATGTGATTGAGAGATAAAGATTGTTTTGGTAAGAAAAAAATAATATTACTCTCCGTAATATTGGTCGTAAAGAACATTCGCGAGCGACACTTTGTTATTAGCGTCGAAAACGCGTGAATGAACTCACTTTACGATCCCACACACACATTCTCACATGTCAGCTCTCGTCTGAAATTGATGAATTAGAAAACAAAATGAATTGTTTCTTCGATCGCAATAAACTTCACGATATCCCGTAAGATACGTTTTTAATGGATCGCGTAATGCGCTAACTCGACGAGACTTTTTTATTATCTTGTCTATAACAAACGATTTCATGACGATAAGGAATTTGTTTCAGCCTTCCACGAGATACATTGTTATTTCGCTCTACGTTCGCTATCTTCTATTTTTCAATCGCCACGTGAAACCCGACGATATGTAAAAGATCGCGGGAGACCCGATTCGCTCGCCCTGACGCTAAAAAAATCGTGATATTTACGCGGACCAACGTTATCGCTGTGCATTTGCAATAATAACATTATCGTGATCTGTCGTTTCTCTGTAAAATTACGCAAACATTGTTGAAAGCAACGCAACGCAATACCGCAAACACACACTCTCTCTCTGCGGGTGGTACGAGATTATCTGCGCGATATTGCGCGCGATTTATCTCGAGATTTTAAGAGGGTCCTGGACCTTCCTGTTATTACCGATCGAACGAGTAATTCGTACTAAACGGTGTTTTTCGTAATTATTGCTCGGATAGAAAAACGGCTCTACAGA